GACCCGCGGTTATCAATATAGGGCCCCAGTCCCAGCCCCAGTGGTCTTCAGTAATGAGCGGTTAGTGACTTCTTTTCAGGTGCTGAGAGAATTTCTCCAGCCAAGTACAATACTAGAACACATAAAAGCAACGTAAGGATGAAACTAATGGGATCACTCACACTGAGCTTTTCGCACAGGCACACGACCCATTTCTGTCTGCCTTACGTAGAAGGTATGCTCATGAGAATGCTCATTGACTAGTTCCCTGCCACGAAGCATGGCTGAATCGAAGAGAATCTCTAGCTCATTCGTGTCCTTCAGGAGACCAGTCACATTGACACGATGAGAGATGAACATGTTATCGGACTTCAGGATCTCGGCGCCGTTCAACAACACGGTTGCAAAGGTATCAAGGCCCTCGAACACTAAATCGGTTGTCGTCGGGCTTCCGAGTGACAGCTCAGCAGGCTTAGGGAATCGTGTCCTGTACGTCCATCGCTTCTCTGCAAGGGACCGAAGAGCTAGCTCATTGAGGTCGATGAAGGGGTCTGGGATCCTGTCATCATGTGAGCTTCGAAATCAGACCATGTTCGAATGGGCTCTTGTATACTCCTTGTTGGCTAGTAGATCCATATGAACATCAGATGGGACTTGGTGTACCGGAAGCCATGGCCTTTCGCTCGAGGAGCTACCATCATACTCTCGGAATTGCCACCCGGAGCTTAAATCATGTCGTGAGCGGGCCATCGCGAGACGTTTCCCAAAGATTCACAAACGGAGCGCAATGGCCTAACACCTGAGAGGAAGACTTGATTTCAAAGGATCAGCAATGGCACGTCTGAAAGGCGGTATACGAAGAGGGGAAGAAGTAGTGGTGGTGGTGGAACAGGAATACGTAATGTCTTATCCGGGGAGGGCAGAAGCAGGGCGACACCGGGACACTTTCAATTACCTTAGTTCAGGTTCTATCCAATCTAAAATCAGAGAGGTCTACAGGCAGTCACAACCCTCGGGTTCATGTGCCGCCGTCGAAAGACTTATACTGCAGGAACAACACATCGTCGTGAATTCTTACGATATTTACAACCTAGCGCTTGGATAACGGCGTTGGGGTAATAGAGTATTCTCTACCCTCATTAACTAATGCTAACAAGTTAAATGCTAACAATCTCAAGCAGGTATTCAGAGGTTACTGGAGTAGCAACAGGGACGACGATTGATTCAACATATAGAATCATAAATAGCGAATACATCGTTAGAAAATCCTCATTACAACTTAGGTCTCTTACTGGTTGGTGTTGGGGTGAAGCTCATTGTGCTTCTCCGGCTTGAAGCGGGGAGGTAAAGCGCGGGGGTGCGGGGCTGCGGGGTACCTGACAGCTCGCTGTTTTTGGGCTTGACAATAGCTTCGTCTTTCTACCAAAGGTTCCGGTATGTGTGCCCCTCGGCATGTAAGTCTCCGAGAAACCCCAAACCCCAATTCCGTCACGACTCTCGAATTAGATCGAGTTTCAAACGCAAAAAGCGGCCTCTGACGCTGGGTGTAGACATTAGTCCTTGCATTGATCCAACTGCTCTATGACAACACCTGTTAGATCTAACCACTGCGCCAAAATATCAGTTCGGCGTTGAGAATATCATTTGGATTTGTATATCTACAACCTTAGTCCGGAGGCAAGACGGAACGACCATACCACGGACTTCCTAGGCGAGCTTAATAAAAAATGATAGTAGCGCGTGCAAAGTAATGAATTGCCGATCCTCAATCACGGTTCACTCCCATTTTAACATCGCCATACTCCTAGTTCTTAATTACTTACCATGTTCTAACCCAAACGGACCTAAGACGCATGCCTCGGGGGCATCTCGAGATATGCACTATCAGAGACCCAGTAGAATATGTTCTAAACGTATCGAGAAATCTCGGACATCTGATTATATGCCCTGAAGCATCAGCGGTGCCCATTGAAGACAGCCACCTTTCGATGGCGTCTATTGATTCTGTAGGCGAATGGCGTCGTCTTGGTCTTAGTATCGATCTGCGACCAGCTCTGATCCAGATCTCATCTGAGTCGAGCCCAACGGTCGGCTATTCGGTCTTAAAACGACGTTGGGAGCATTGACGGTGAGGACGCTAATAACCGCCCATGATTGGCTTGGCATACGAGACTGTAGAATGCCTCGGATCTGGGCACCCTCGTGTCTATCATGAGTGCCCTCCAGCCTGCTGGGGAGGAATTGACCACGTCCATTCGGGTGCCCGTTGCCGCCAATGCCGATATGGGTTCCATGACCATATCATACCCGCGAGGAGACACCGCCAGCGCCGGCGTGTCATGTCATGCATGTACTGGCGACGGTGCAAAGATCAGCCAGAATATGCTGTTAAAGCATCTGCTTGGTCCGGCACCCGCGCATCAACACCATGTTAAAAAAGAAGAAAGATAGGGGGAGGGGGGGCTGCTCGGCGTAACGAGATTCGAGGTTTGAGCTTCGAGAGCGACAGCCCGGGTCCTAGTGTAAGACCTGAGTAGTCCTACCTTACGTTCAAAAGATGACCGAGTCATCGGAGTGGCCTCGCCACATAGAGGACAGGGAGATTGAGACATTCGACACAAATTCCCTCGGGCCTGACCGAGCCAGAAAAGCGGTAGGACGAATGAGAATGCCGACCGGGCCGTGCCGAGACTACCTAAGTCAGATATCGTCGAGTCCGCCCCCGGAGGCTACTCAATCCATCGCAACATATCGTAGATCCATCCTAGATATTTCATCAGCTGTCGCATCTCGTAGCCTGATCGAAACAAGAAGCGCCTCTCTGAAATCTGTCATAGACTGTATAAAGTATACCTCTCTCTGCCCGGCGCCACGTCATGCCGTGACTAATGCCAACCGCATCTGATTTGAGGCGCAGTAGCGCTCACCAATGAGTCACTTATTGTGATTCTTGTTTTACTTTTTATTATTGATTTTTTTTGGGAGATGCCACTCAATATGAATACTGCAAGGAGACGGACCGAGGTAGTCTCTCGCCTCGGGTCGTTATAAGATCATGAACACCTGCGAAAAAGAGCCACGGGCAGAGAGGAGCAACGCCAGGCTATCCGTAGGAGAACCCCATCGTCAGAAGGACCAGAAAGGAGGAAGAGCTCGCACGACCTGCCAACCGAACAATGGATTACCTCCACTCTCCCGGCTTCGCCTCCCGCGTAGAGGAGCTCATGAAGAAGAACCATGTCCCCGGCCTAGCCGTCGCGATACTGGAGGGCGAGCGCACGTTCTCCGCGGGGTACGGGTTCGCGTCGCTCGATCCGCCGAGGCCGTGTACCAGCGACACGCTCTTCGACATCGCGTCGTCTTCGAAGTCGATGACGGCCGCGTCGGTGGGCCTGCTGGTCCGCGACGACGAGAGATATCCCGAAGTGCAGTACGACGCGATCATGTCCAGCCTCTTACCCGGCGACTTCGTCATGCCCGGGCAGGGATATACGGAAGGCGTCACGGTCGAGGATATCCTCAGCCACCGGACGGGTATGCCGCGGTACGTACATCCATACAAGTCACATAACATACCTGGCAGTCCATGCGCGCGCGGGGAAGCGATTTGGTATTGCATTTTACACTTTGTGTGCCTGACTGACTGACTGATCGACCGCATCTAGCCATGACGACTCTTACCTCAATAGACACGCAGCGCAGCCAGACAACGCGCGATCGGTGACGAGGAACCTGCGGAACCTGACGATCTCCGCCCCGATCCGGACCCAGTACAGGTACTGCAACATGATGTACACGGTCGCGGCGTACCTCGTCGGGGAGAAGAGCGGGCAGCCCTTCGCCGACTTCCTGCAGCAGCGCTTCTTCGCGCCCCTGGGCATGTCCTCGACGCACCTGCAGCCGACGCGCGCCCGGTCCTTCGGCCTCGGCGACCGCATCGCCACGGGCTACGCGTGGAACAAGGAGGACGAGCGCTACGCCAGCCTCGAGGCGCGGGATTGCGTAGAGGGCGAGGGCGCCGGCTCCATCATCACGAGCGTCAACGACTACCTCAAGTGGGTGAGGGCCCTGCTGTACCGCGAGCACCCGATCGACGAGGAGGTCTACAAGGGGCTAGTCAGGATGCGCACCTTCACCTCTCCCGACCCCGAGAGGCGGGAGCCGATGACCTCGCCGGTGGCGTACGCCGCCGGCCTCGAGATCTTCTACTACCGGGGCCACATGGTCGTCGGGCACGACGGCGGCGTGAGCGGCTTCGGCAGCCGCCACTTCTTTCTCCCCGAGCTCCGCCTCGGCGGCGCCATCTTCGGGAACTCGAGCGACGCGGCCGACGTGGCCACGATCCTCTCGCGGGAGCTGATCGACGAGGTGCTTGGGGTGCCGGCGGCGGAGCGCCCGGACTGGGAGAAGGTCGTGTCGGGCGCGGGCGCGGATGATAGCGAGTTCGCCCAGGGCGGCCCGAAGGAGACCGAGATGCGCCGCGCGCTGCGCGAGGCGTCGGAGCCGCAGAAGACGCCCCTGGCCGCGTACGCCGGCGAGTACTGGAACCCCGGCTACCGCGGGATGACGGTGGTCGTGAAGGACGGCGAGCTCTACGTCGACGCCCGCGACCGGGCCATGGGCTACTCGCTGACTTTCCACCACGTGCGCGGGCAGACGGAGTACATCGTCCGTTTGAGGCCCTTCGAGTACGACGACGAGGAGCTGCTCGCGGCCGAGTTCAGGTTCCGGAACGACAGGGTCGTCAAGATGGGCATAGAGCTCGAGGCCGACGAGTTGATTTGGTTCGATCGAGTAGAAGAAAAAGAAGAAGAATCATCGTCGAAATAGATGTCTATAGTGCCTACCTAATTAGTGTTACCAGACTACCAGGACTGATTATTTAAAAGAGAGTCTTGTTCGTTAGGTGAAGAGGGCGGGCAATCACTGTGCATAAATGAATGCACGGTATTCAAAATAAGATAAAACAAAACAAAACAAAATAATCAAAAAGATGATCTCGCTAAAGAACTATCTCGTGTTGACCTCGCTGGGGGTCGAACCCAGAATCTCCTGATTTACTCAATCGTAGTCAGACGCCTTGCCATTGGGCCACGAGGCCGATGTTGGAGACCCTTTCTCTTAACCCTACCTAAGGCCAGGGTGGCTAATTGAGTCTTGGCGTCCGGAATTATTTTCCAAGCAGAGCAATCCTAGCATCCACACCACCACTCCTCGTCGGCAGAACCCGGATCCAAAGATAGATCACCTTCTCACCTTACTTCTCTACTCTTAGGAGGGCTCGTAGGGGGTTTATTTAATCATCACTTATACATACTTAGGCAAGGGAATATACGCCATTTCTTACATTGTTATGATCAGCTGCATTTATGAGAGTTACACTTTTTCTTATCTTGTTCAAAGCCTTCAATCCCTTGCGCTGCAAAATAACTTCTTCCTTTCTCAGATTTGGCCCCCTCAGGCTTTATCCCTGATAAAGCCGGTTGGTTTATGATCCCCTCGTTTCTTATCACGTTTGTCTAGTATCTTTTCCTTCTTCTTCTTCTTCTTCTGTTTTTTTTGTTGCCGTTGGGGCGGTTGGTTTTTGAGATGCAGGGTATGTCTGATTTGGCGAATTAATTGCAATTCGTCGGCGTGTCAGCACATACCCTGCGATGAAAGAGGGCGTTGCTTATATCTTCGTCTTTAGGGAAGATTTGCGAGAGTCGAAGCCTACGGCCCGCCACAGCCCGTTAAAGAGCACGGCGACTCGTTGAGCTTCGCGACGCAATTTGATAATGAAGCGGTCTTAGTATGGTGTGTTTTCCCACCTGCTCCGAGGCCACTTCACGATTCGGGTCTATGTCGAAAATGCCCCTTATGACCAGTTATCAACGTGATTCAGATAACCGCTGTTCGGGGATGACGTGGCAGTAGGGCTATTTGTCGGATTGGTTGTGTTGACGGGGTCAACGGGGCTCGCGGCGGGCTCGTAGTGATCAAAAACGAGACCCCTATGTGCCGGTGCCGGTAGCTTGCATTTGGTCTTACCGCCGCGATATTGACACTCCATGTTTTGGCATATATGACCAAGAACACAGGCTTGCGACTTACAATCCCTCCGCTGTAAACAAGGCAGCGAGCGCGACAGCCACTCTAATGCAGGAAGTAAATCCTCCGGGAGTGGGTCGTGCTCGAAAATACAGTTCTTATTGGGGCAGAAGCCCGTAAGTTGTCTGCTGTTGCAGAACCTTTTGTTGATAGAAAGTTCTCTCAGCTTGGCGGAAGTCGCCGGGCTAGGAACGGGCATATATGCGTCTAGTCGTTGTAGGGCATTATTCACGGCTATATGGCCGTCTGGTATCTCTCTCTTCATTGGTAGTGAATCTGCAAGATCCCTTCTTCCCGGCATCGCATTCGGCGATGGACCGTCCGATTCAAAGAGTGGTGCAATGGCCGAATTCCTCGCGCGGCTGAAACCACCTGTGGCATCAGCGTTGTTGTGGTCATCATGATTATTAAGTTGAGAGGGGAATGGCGTCCTAGCTGAGCTCGCAGACATCGACGTTCTATTATCGATGTGGGCATTCTTGCAGTCCGCCCCAAATCGACACTTGCCGGTCTGGTAGAACGGACACGGCTTCTGAGAGTCACGAGATCCGTTACCCTGGTAGTAGGTTGTATGTCCTGTAGTGGAAGGGCCAGTTGGATGAGGACCTTTCACGAGATCCGTGCTTGCGTTGGGCTTAGTGTAGGAAGTGGGTGCGTCAGAGGGCAGCTGCACTGTGCGGAAAACACCTGGGAATTCCTCGACCCCGAGTTCTAGTCCGAAAAACCGGTTGTGGAAAAGAAGCCCCGACGATCGTATGAGCGTAACTCTACTTCGATCCCCCCTAAACCTTGTCAAGTCCGCCAGGTACCCGACATCATGGCAAGCCGCAATAAAAATGTGTTTGCACTGGGCATTCTCAGCATAAAGTCCTAAAAGAGCCCGTATCTTGAAATCGGCGTTCTCCTTGAGCTCGCCCGCATCGATAAACTCGGTAAGCCCATATGCTCTATTGAAGCTAGCCACGAACGGAGAGAGAGAGCGTTTATCTGCAGTAGCGAGCCCATTTCTGGAAAGGGTACGGGAGAGGTTGGCGAGATTCGCGTACACGCGGATCATGATCTCGCAGTTATCTATGCCTTTCCCTCGCAAGCTTTGTTCCACTGCATCATTCAGATACTTGGCCGCCATCGACCCGCCATCAGCTCCTGACTGAAGGAAGCGGTCATTGAATATGTATCCGTCTCCGTCAACGAGTACAAGCACGAAGGGGCTCCGCTCTTGAGTACGAGCAAGCTGCTTATAGCGCTCCCTTGTGAGTTTTTCTTCTTCGAGGTCGCTTTTGAGTTGCCGGTAGCTAACTAGGAGGTCGGCGTAGCGTTGCAGAAAGTCCTCTTCTGCGCTCCTTGCGCGGAACTCGGCCAGCTTCTCGGAGGCATCGTCAATTTCTTTATCAGTGAGCATGCTTGACATGGTTTGGATCGGCTGGGCCTATAAAGGCAGACAGACGAAGGGTTGAGGGCGAGCGATGAAATGATACAGAGGCGAATGATTCAGAGAGCAGCTTCCAGAGCTTGAAATAAATTGCTGAGTTGCTCCGACAGTGACCATACAACTGGAGTTGCGTGAGACTTTAGCAACAGATGTCTGGTCTCTGGAGGAGAGACTGACTATAAGTAGACAACTGTCAAAAAAGACTCTTCCGTGAACCGGGGGTCATTCCGGCTCAGTGAGCACTGAGAAGTGGAGAAAGGATGATGTGAAAGGAGATGGTGGCTAACGAGACAAAAAGGTGGAGCTGGAGATAATGAAGGCGGTCAGTAACAGGACTTTAGTGGAGGTGCTCCTCCCAAATTACAATAGAAATGCTCAGGTAGTGTCAATGCACCGTCTCCTTGTCCCCCGCGCCACTGATGGCCCGTTACACAGCATGCACTTGAACCTAGGAGTAGTGGTGATCAAAGTTGATGTAAGGTCATCTTTTCCGTTGTCTCTGCGTGTGTGTGTTTTAAGGACGGGTCTACCTACTAGAACTGTTGTATAAGAGACGCTACCCGCTGTAACTAGCATTATAGGCCTTTGAAATAGGTACTTTAGGTACCTACCATTATTCCACTTCTTCAGTCACAAAGCCGTCCACTCCAGGAGTATTAGTGGTAATCAAAGTTGATGTAAGGTCATCTTTTCTATTCCATTATCTCTCATACAACAGCAAACCCATACTTCCGCATCGCCCTCTTTTCTAGTCGACCCGCTCTCAGAAAACACGCAAAGACGCTGGTAATGGCACGACGCCCAGTAATACATGCCGTAAATCGCTGTTGGACTAAACATGCAGATGCTCTCGACCCATCATCAAACCGGCCTAAGTAAGCGCTGGCGAGCAAGCGGGAGAAACTCCTCGGGTTTCCTAATGTACCGACCGACCACCTTCAGGACTGCACCTTCGATCGCTTTCCACGCACCCAAGACCGCCAGTTGAGGATGAGTTGACCGCGTACATATGCTTTGATGGTCTGGCGTAGCGCCCTGTTTCTCAGTCTGAAGGACTGATCTTTGATGTTCTCGTCAAACGCCCAGATCGCTCGATCGAATCTCGCGTTCGGGAGTTGCATAGGGGACACTTCTCTCCAACTGGCTGTGAACACCAGCACGAGGACCTTTCTTTCGGGACCATCTCTGTCGTCAATGGTAATTATCTCGCTATGGACCATTTGTTTGAATCGGGTGATGGTTATGCCCCTGCCATCTGCTGTTAGTCTCTGAAGATAGTCTTCTGCTTCTAGCAGGCAGGCGTGCTACAAGGGGAGTCAGACACGTACAGTTGAGCAAAGCAGTCAGACCAGGCTTTGTGGAATATCGACATATCGAGCGACCAGCATGTTGCACCCGGTAGTACCCACTCGTCCAGTTCTTCGACCACCCGGCGTGGAAGACCATCCATGGTCACACGAACCTCATGGTCGGGGCTTACTTTGACGAACAGTATCGAGGGATCCTCGCCGTCCCATCGCGGATCTGTCTTCCGCAGGGCCACGCAGACGTGAACCTCGTGGCAATCTGGGGCCTCGCGCGCCAGAATTTCCGCGGGCTGCCTGTTCTATCGGCGGGCCATCCAACCGACTTGAAACATCTTGGCGTTTTCTCGGCTGGGACTGTTTTGAAATAATGAAGGCTTCGAGTAGATAATTCAACGAATGACTGTTTGGTCCACGACTGCTTGTCAGAAAAATAAACCGAAGATGACGGCGAATGAATAATGAGCCAGATGATAGAAATGGGGGAAGATGGGTTTCGAGAGGACGAAGGTCGAGAGTGGAATGTCTGGCAAGACAATTTAGGTATTCCCCATCGCCACTATAATGGTGCATGACCAGATAAAAGAGGGAGCGACGTTGGATTGTATATAAGGAGGGGATATAACAGCCGTCGCAAAAGGAAAGCTCAGTTTAGTAGACGAGAAGGAGGGAGGTGTTGACTCAGCAGTACTTCCGTACTTTGATGAGCGGATGGGCTGCGCCTTTCCTCCTGATTCTTCTAGGTACGTGAGCTTTAAATCAGGTATAGGAAACCTCGACGTGCAGGATAGGTAATCGAGCAAAGTTGACTTTCTGACTGAGCGGGGACACGAGTTGGTTGGGAGGATGCAATCAGACCTGGGGTAGGAGCTGGGCCTGGAAATATCTTAGCACGAACAAACACTTTCCTCTGTCTCCCACATCACATCACAGGAGGTACTACTCATCAACATCGCTTCCCGCCCCGTTTCTGTTGATCATTCTATCCCTGGCTGTCATCATCCACGAAGACAGTGCCAAGTGCATACTTAATTAGGTATTCTGGCATGTAAGTAACACTCCTAAGCCACAACTTACTCACGGAAGGAATGACATTCAAGTAGTGCTCTTAACATGTAACGACAAGCCATTCCATGCAAGTTCCCCAATACGTAGAGATCGATCACAGGGAAGAAGTTCCCAGCCGTCGTAAATTCTAGATACCGGGAAGCGCAGCGCATGGCTGCATCTGCGAATTCAAGGACTGTAGTGACACCTAAAAAGACTCAATGAATT